CTTTTGAAGCATATTCTGTAATGATCATATGGTTTTTATCACTTCCTTTTGTTAATGTGATAGATCACACTGATTGATTTGTGGCTAATGAACCATCTTGACATCCCTGGAATAAATCCTACTTTTTTTGCAGTGAATGATCTTTTTAATGTATTTCTCAATTTGGTTTGCTAATATTCTGTTCAGGATTTCTGTACCTATGTTCATAAGGGATATTGGTCTGTAATTTTCTTTGTAGTGTCCTTGTCTGATACCACAGTGATGCTCACAGGATGACTTGAAACCTTTCTTTCCTCTTCAATTATTTTGAGTAGAAGAAGTATTAGCTTTTCTCTAAAGGTTCAGTAGAACTTACCTGTGAAGCCTTCTGGTATTTGGTTTTTGTTTGTTGGGGGTTTTTGATTACCAATTCAATTCCATTATTAGTAATTCAGCTGTTCAAATTTTTTATTTCTTCCAGTTCAGTCTGGGAAGATTTTGTGTTTCTAGGAATTTATCCATTTCTTCTCTGGTCCAATGTATTGGCATATAATCTTTCATAATACTGTCTTACAATCATTTGTATTTGTGGTGTCAGTTGTAACTTCTACTCTTTCTTATCTGACTTGAGTAGAGCCTCTCTCTTTTTGTCCTGATGAGTCTAGCTAGAGGTTTATCAATTCTGTTTATTCAAAGAACCAGCTCTTAAGTTTCACTGATCTTTACCATTGTTATTTTTTAAGTTTTTTTCCACTCTTTTCATTTATTTCCACTCTAATCTTTGTTATTTTCTTTTTTGTACTAAGTTTGGGCTTTGTTTGTTTCTATTTTTCTAGTTCCTTTAGATATCGGGTTAGACTGTTTATTTGAGATGTTTCCTGCTTCTTAAGGTATGACTGTATCACTACAAACTTCCCACTTAGGACTGCTTTTCCTGCATCCAAAGATTCTGAACTGTTATATTTCTGCTTTCATTATTCTCCAAGTATTTCTTCAATCCCTTTCTTAGTTATTTGATGACCCATTGGTTGTTAAGCAACATGCTCGAAGCCCCCATGTTTTTGTGTTTTTACTATTTTCTTTTCCTTTAACTGATTTCCAGTTTTATGCCATTGTGCTCAGAAAAATGCTTGATATGATCTCAATTTCTTAAATTTATTGAGTCTTGCTTGCTGGCCTAATATGTGACTTATTCTGGAGAATGTTCCATGTGCACTTGAAAAGAATATGTATTCTACTGTTTTTGGATGTAATGTTATGTATCTCTTAATTCCAGGTGGTCTAATGTGTCTTTCAAATCCACTGTTTCCTTACTGATTTTCTTTCTGGATGATCAATCCGCTGATAAAAGTGGGGGTATTAAAGTCCCCTATTTTTATTGCATTACTAGCAATCTCTCCCTTTATATCTGATAACATATGCTTTATACATTTAGGTGGCCCTGTGTCGGAAATGTAGATACTTAAAATTGATGTGCTTTCTTGCTGAATTGTGCCATATCATTATATAATGTCCTTCTTTGTATCTTGTAACAATTTTTGTTTTAAGATCTTTTTTGTCTGATGAAAATATTGCTACTCCAGCATTTTTTTCACATTGTTATCTGCATGGAGTATCTTTTTCCATCCCTCCAGTTTCAGACTGTATGTATCCTTAGAGTTAAAGTGAGTCTCTTGTAGACAGCAAATAGATGGGTCTTTTTTTTAAATTAGTTCAGTCACTCTGTGTCTTTTGATTGGAACATTCAGTCTATTTCCATTTAAAGTAATTACTGATAGGTTTACTGCCATTTTGTTAAATCTTCCCTGGTTGTTTTTGTTGTTGTTCTCTGATCCTTTCTTCCTCTCTTGCTTTCCCCTTGTGCCTTATTGTTTTTTTTTTTTAATTGGATTCCCGTCTCTTTGTTTTGTGTGTATCCATTATAAATTTTGGGCTTCTGGTTACCATTGGGGTTCTTACATGACATCCTTCATATGTAATAATCCATATGATAAATTGATAGTCACGTAAGTTTGAACACATTCTAACAACACTATATATTTTACTCTCTCCTCCTCATTATATTTAAATGATGCCTTCTACCTCACCTGTTAATTCAGTGATTCCCTTAACTGTTAGATGTGATTGATTTTACTACTTTTGCTTTTTGACCTTCATACTAGCTGTTCAGTGTTTCATCTACCTCTGATATATGTTTGCTTTTACCAGTGAAATTTCTGCTTTCATATTTTTCTTGCTTCTAGTTAGCATCTTTCCTTTTCTTCCTAAAAAAGATCTTTTAACATTTCCTATATGGCTGGTTTCATGGTAGTGAACTCTTTTTTTTTTTTAATTTTGGTATCATTAATCTACAATTACATAAAGAACATTATGTTTACTAGGCTCCCCCCTTCACCAAGTTCCCCGCTACATACCCCTTCACAGCAACTGTCCATCAGCATAGTAAGATGCTGTAAAAGGTAGTGAACTCTTTTAACATGTTTATCTGTGAAGCTCCTTATCTCCCCTTCCAGTATGAACAACCTTGATGAGGCAAATATTGTTGGATGGAAGTTTTCCTCTTTCAGCACTTTTGACTATATCATGCCACTCCTTTCTGGACTATTGAGTTTCTACTGAAAATTTAGCTGACAGCCTTATGGGGTTTTCCTTTAGGTAACTTGTTGCTTTTCTCTCTCTGCTTTTAATATTCTCTCTTCGATATTTGTCTTTGACATTTGTCATTTATATTGTGATTTGTCTTGGTGTGGACCCCACTGGGTTTATTTTGATTGGGGCTTTTCACGCTTCTTTGACCTGGATATGTTTCCTTCCCTAGGTTAAGTTTTCAGCTGTTATTGCTTCAAACAGTTTTCTACTCCTTTCTCCTTCTCTCTTCTTTTAGGCCTCCTATAATGTGAATGTTTCTAAATCTGATATTGCCCCAAAGTTCCCTTACCCTAGCCATACTTCTTCTTATTCTTTTTTTCTTTCTGCTGTTCGTCTTGAATGCTTTCTATTACTGTCTTCTAATCACAGATATATTCTTCTGCACCCTCTAATCCTCTCTTGACTCCCTCTAGTGTATTTTCTGCTGCAATTGTTGTATTCATCATGTCTGATTGGTTCTGTTCTATATTTTCTATCTGTACAGGTTCTCACTGAGTTGCTCCACTCTTCTTTCAAGTCTGATGAGTAGCTTTATAATCATTAATTTGAACTCCAGTAGATTGCTTAACTCTGTGTCATTTAGTTCTTTTGGGGAAGTTTTGTCATATTCTTTTGTTTCACACATATTCCTCTGCATCCTTGTTTTGTTTGACTTTCTGTACTTGATTCTATTAATTAGTAGAAAAGGATATCTCTCCCACTCTTGAAGGACTGACCTTGTGTTGGGTAGACTATGTGTGCCTGGTGGCTTTGGCTGGGTGTCTGGAGACCACTGTGTGTGGCATGAAGGTGTCTTTGGTGTCCGGTCTCTCAGGGCGTGATGGGAAGGGTGTGCAGTCTAAGGAGCTGAAATGGAGGGGCTCCTGAGAAGACACTGATGGGGTACACCCTGGCAGAGAGGTAGGGATCCAGGTGCAGGTGCAGTCTCGAGGAAAGCCCTGCCTCCACAGCTACTGGCTCCATGCCCATGGTGCAGCAGTGGCTCAGGTATATCCTCCTCCAGGGGAGGGTAGTGATTGACTCCACACTCAAAGTGCAGCTGCAGGCTTAGGCACATCCTTCAGGAAAGTCCCTCCACAACCACTGGTTCTACACCCAAGGAGCAGCAGCAGCTCAGGCGCACTCTCCAGGGTTCAGGGACGACTGGCTCCACACTCTAAGGGCAGCTGCAGCCTGAACACCCTCTCCAGCTGATGAGTCTGGGTATGTATGGGAGCTGGGAAGCCACCAAGACCAAGTCTGAAATTGTATATACATCCCAGTCCTGCTCCCTGTGTCACTGCTGATGTGGGGAAGGGGTGCAAACAACGGCACTCGCCAGACCTCTGATCTGGAGAGAGTTCCAGCCATTACCCTTCTAACTGGCATGTGCTTTAGCAATAAAAATCAGTTTTTTTCATCGGTAGTCTAGAAGTATATTGAGGCACGGTTTTTTTTCTATGACCCAGATAGGAAATCTGTATCATAGTACCTCAGCAATATCCCTCCCCCAGTGTGGGTTGCTGTGCTGGGGGTAGGGTTCCCTCCATTTCTGTATCTCCATTTCTCCTGCTGATTTTTTATGTGATGTTTCTATCCCTTCTTGCATAGAAGCTGTTCACACAGTCTTCAGTTCTTCCTTAAAAGGAAATGCTCTGTGTTTAGGTGTAGATTTGGTATATAGGTGAGAGGAGGTGGATTAAAGCTGTCTCTACACTGCCATTTTCCCATAAGTGTCAATTTTGAAATGTTTTAACTAATGGGAATCTTCCATACAAATGCATAGGATTCTTGAACGGTGCTCCATATATATATGAAATTTATTTAACTACTTATCAGTGAGCATTCAGAATGTCTCTACTTTTGCATTATTATAAACAGCTAAAAAAAACTGTCCTTATACATTAAATCTTATCAGACATCAACAAACATCGGTCTAGCAAAGACAGTAGAATGCTAGGTCAAGGGGTATTCAAACACAAACATCACTCAACTGCTGTTCAATAATTCAGCAAATGGCCAACGTTCACATTTATAAGACTACTGGGAATAAATTAAGAGGAAGAATCATATCAAATGACTTTTTTTGCTCCCTAAAACTCTCTAAATTCTACCTGTCTCCATTTCCACAATAAATCACTTCAAGTTATCACCATCCTAGACTGGATACTGCAACCTCCTCTTCCTAATAAGTCTCCTTGGTTGGACTGTTACCCCTTCCAATCTAATCATTATACTGCACTGATAGTGATTTTTAAGTACATATCTTACTATGTTTCTGCCATGCTTAAAACATTACAGTGGCTTCCTTAGAACAACCACCACCATTACCGCCTCAAAATTCTCAAAATATTTCAGCAGGTCTCTGTATGACATCGCCCCACAAGTCTTACCTCATGCACTCTCTATTCCCAACCCTGAAAAAAGAAAACACACAGCTTTATTTCAGCCCTCAAACATACCATTATTCTTTCTACCCCAGGGTAATTGCACATGCCATTCCTTCAGTCTCATTCTAAGTACACTGATCCCTCTTCCTCCCCCAAGCCTTCCCTCCACTTCAGATCTAAGCTCAACTGTCTCTTCTTTAGAAAAGTAGACTACATCAAGGCATGCTGTAAAATTCTCATAAAATCCTCTAATTTACGTTCATAGCACCAATGGCAGTTTAGATGAATATATCTGTGATTATCTGATTAAATTGTATCTATATAAGCTTTATGAGAACAAAACTAAGTTTCTAGTACATATTCTTTCTCCCCAGTACCTAGCATACTTCCTGGAACTGCAGTATGTAGTAAAATATATAAATATATGGTAATTGATAATATTTGACAATGCCTAATCATAAACAGCACAACATTAAGAATTACTGGATCCAAAGTTTATGAGATCTAACAGATTAATTTCTAATATATTATCTTTACAAATGATGGAAACTGAAGTTTACACCTACTAAAAGACACATCATGTTTCCTTTCTTTTACAATGCAGACATGGGATGGATGGATGGCTGGATGGATGAATGGATGGATCAAACAAGATAATAGATGCTGCCAATACATTCAGCAAAATCCTCAGAAAATTGTGTGTCCTCAATAAATGCTTCTTAGATCTCAGCTTGAGCAAGAGTACCATCTCCAGCTAGCAGACTAAAACAAATTTCAATCAACCACCTCGTCACAGATCACTACTGTTCACTACTCAGTTATATCACATTTACATTTTTATGAAAAAAATTCAGTTACTCAGAAAACATGCTAAATATTTCATGGTGATTCAACCTCACTTTAAATACATCTATTTAAACACAACTTCTTTCATATGTAATCAAAGACATATTCACTAAGGGCCCGCCTAATACTCAGTAGTGTGCTGGGAGATGACCATATGAAAACAAGGCGCAAAAGTGCACATTTAGGCAGAAACAGTAAGTAAAGATTTTAAAAAACATTATGTTAAGTATGGTGCTAGAAAAACAGTGAAGAGCATTACAGGAGCAGAAAGTTGGGGGCCCTACCCCAACTCAGGGGTCAGAGGAGCCTTGCTGGAGGCATGACACCTCAGCTAAGACCTACAGGACTAGTGAGAGGGCCAGGTAAGAGCACAGTTACATAGCCATTACAAGCAGGACAATGATAAAATTACAACGAAAGGAAAGAAAATACTACATGGAGACTTCCAAACTTGCTATTATGTTTAAGTTAAGACTTAATAAAAAGGCTTCAGGTAAGTAACTAGAACGTGCTTAAATTCTATCCCCCCCTATATTTGGAGGAAAGAAGGAGATGTTTCTGAGGTTTTTGTTTTTCCAACAAAGGAGAGGTTTTGATGTTTTTCCAAGCAAGTAAACTGATCTGAACAGTTTCTGTCTTAAAGCTAGAGATAAAACTGAAGGCCGGACCAATTAGAAAGAAGGTGACTACAATCTAGTAGAAAAGAGTTACATAAATGAACTGAATCAGTAAAAACATGTAGGTAAGTGTATAAACTGTAGATCACTTCCATTATACCTAAACTGTTATACAGGATCATAGTATGCAGATCCTAATTTGCATTCTTGATGAAACCTATAAAAGGAAAAATATCTGCCACTACACTGATTGCATTTCCCAGAGATTACAAAATAAGACCCAAGTCTAGATCTGTCTTAAAACCCCAACAAATCTAATGAGATGCCATCAGAAATGCCAACTGGTATGTCCTTCATATTACTATGGCAACCAGAAAAGCTCTACAATCTCATTTCAGGAAAAAGAAGGTTAGAGAAATAGTGTGATATATGATAGAGGTCTACAAACTTTTTCTGTAAACAGCCAAAAAAAATATCTACACTTTGCAGTTAATTCATTCTCTATCACAGCTCGTAGCACAAAAGCAGTTGTAAACATTTATAAAGGAATGAGTGTAGCTCTGTTGCAATTAACACTTTATTTACAAAACCAGGCAGCCTGCTAGAAAGATTTGGCAGATAGATCAGTTTGCTGACCCCTGATATAGGACAGTAACATTTTTTTGTTCAAAACCACAAAACATATTGACATTACAGTGGCAAAAGCCATGTATGGATATATGGTAATTATATGCTCGAACAATTCTTTGATTTCAAATATATTGTCTATCAGAACGTATTTGATGTGCCTCATTAAAGAGAGCGTTTTTCATATAGAAAAATGTTTTATACATTTTTAAAATGTAAAACTATAATACTTACTGTAACACTGGTAACTCTGATGTAATCATTGCTGAAGAGGTCTTTCCACAATGGAACAAAAGAATCAAGTGCTTTATAAGTCAAAACTTTAAAAATGACCTCAAACCAATCCTGTTAATTAAAAAAAAAAAGGAAAATTACTTTCTCCAGCTTTACTGACATTTAATTGACAAATAAGATTGTAAGATATTTAAAGTATACAATGTGATGATTTGATACCACATTGTGAAGGACTTTCCCCATCAAGTGAACACACCCATTACTTCACATACTTACCTTGTCTTAGGGAGGAGGTTATGCTTTTAGTAAATTTCAATTATATAATATAGTGCTATCAACTGTAGCTGACCATGTTATACATCAGATATTCACCTGTTACTGAAAGTCTGTAGGTATTCACCAACCTCTCCCTAATCATTACTCCAGAGCCCCTGGTAACCACTTTTCTGGTCATTGTTTCTACGTGCTCAATTTGTTTATTAAGATTCCACATATTAGTGATGCCATGTGGTATTTGTCTTGCTCTGCCAGGCTTATTTCACTTAACATAATGCTCTTCTCCAGGCTCATCAGTGTTGTCAAATGACAGGATTTCCTCTTTTTTAAGGCTGAATAATATTCTGCTGCATATAAATACCAGGTTTTCTTTCCTTATTCATATGTCAATGGACACTTAGGTGTTCCCATACCATGCCTATTGTGAATAATGCTGCTATGAACATGGGAGTACAGATACCACTCAGAATAATGATTTCTGGATAAATATCCAGAAATGGAATCAATTGCTGGACCATATGGTAGTTTCTATTATAATTATCTGAAGAACCTCTATACTGTTTACCATTAGAGACTGCACCAATTTACTTCCCCCCCAAAAGTGTACAAGGTTTCTCTATTCTTCATATCCTCACTAGCATTTACCTACTGTCTTTTTTAAATAGACATCCTCATAAGTGTCAACTGGTATCTCACTGTGGTGTTGATGTGCATTTCCCTAATGATTAGTGATGTTAAGTAGCTTTTCATGTACCTATTGGTCATTTGTATGTCTTCTTTGGAAAAACGTCTACTTAGGTCCTCTGAAAAAATTAAATTATTTTCAAATAAAATGAATATGCCAAAATATAGACTAAAACCAATCAGTACTATGAGCAATCACATTCCTTGATATTTACCCAAATGAATTGGAAACCACACAAAAGCCTGCACAAAGATGTTGATAGATGCTTTACTCAAATTTGTCAAAATAAGGAAGCAATTAAGATGCCCTTCAGGAAGTGAATGAATAAATAAGCGTGGCACATACATGCAGACAATGGAATATTATTTGGTACTAAAAAGGAAAAGAAAGAGCTATCAAGCCATGAAAAGACATTAGGAAGCTCAAGTGCATTATTACTAACTGAAAGAAGCTGATCTGAACTGCTACATACTGCACAATTCCAACTATATGGCACTTTGGGGAAGGAAAAACTATGGAGACAGTAAAAGGTTGATAGGTTGCTGGAGTTTAGGACAGGAGGAATGAATGGGTGGATACAGATTATTTTTTAGGGCACTGAAACTATTCTGTATGATACTGCAGTGGGTTTATCAAACCCCACAGAATGTAAAATACCAAGAGTAAACCCTAATGTAAACGTGGACTTTGTGTGATAATGATGTATCAATGTAGATTCAGGGTAAAAAGATGTACCACTCCAGGGCAGCAATTTTATAATGGGGTGGGGGAGGGGAATGACTCTACCTTCTGCTCAATTTTGCTGTGAACCTAAAATTTCCCTAAATAATAAAGTCTGTTAAAGGAAAACAGAAGTAGCAGGGGAAGTAGGATAAAACAGAGCATCCATCGGACAAGCCATGATACGATATCAAATGGAACAACATAGAGTGTAATTGGAAATCCAGAAAGAGAAAGTACAACACAGAATACTTAACAGATAACAGAGAAGAACTTACCCAAAATAATATATTAAAACCCAAATTGGAGATCAGAGAATTCCCAAGCAGAATAAATACTTTAAATTATAAACATTGCTAAAAACCAAAGCTAAGGAGAAAACTCCAAAGGAAGCTAAAGAAACAGGATTCCTTGCATAAGGAAAAACAAAGATAAGAATATATAAGACTTTTTGTTGGAAACAATGTAAGCTGAAAGACAATGGAATACATCTTTAAAGTGTTGAGAGGAAAAAAAAGCGAACCCTAAACTATATACCCAGTGATAACAATCTTTCAAATATAAATAAAAGGAGTGATGTAATAGAAAACAGAGGACTAGGAAGATCCAAGAATCAGCTCCTCCGTAAAGCAACCCTTAGGTTGGCAAAAAATGACAATCAACTTTTATAGACATCTAGAATCTTACAACTTATAACAGACAGAGAAGTATTTAACAATGAAAAAGTCTGCTAAATTGAATAAGAAAGCATTGGAGCATTCTCGCTTACCTGTGTACCATCTCCCCTCCACCAGGTTCAAGAGTGCCCATAAGGACTGTCTACCAAGTTCTTCATGCAGCTTGCTGGTGCCAAAGAGAACATGGACTTTGTTCTCAAAAATAGTGGCTGTGTATTTTGAAAGACTTTCCAGGTGTCATCTTTCAAAAGGGCTTAGACATACACTGCAAGTAGCTACCTGGGGCAAGAGGCAGTAGATGGTACAAGCAGCAGACAATATGAAAATTATCAGAATAAGGAGGTGGAGGAGGAAGATACTCAGCAGAATTAGGGCTTTAAAGGGTTATTATATATATCAGGAAATCTAGAATGCTATATACATGCCTAGGGCTGGATGCATGCTTAGAGAACACCTGAGAGGAGCACAGGCTGGCAACTCTAGCTTATCTTTGGGCTATGTACAAGCACAAGGTGAAGCACAAAGGGACGGTGAAGACAGCCAGCTGGAAGACAGGCTGTTGGCAGCCTAACTAACCTCTGAAGGAACACCTCAGTGAGAGATAGTCTGCAAACCCCAAGAGATTACTTTTTAACTGTTGGCTCCCACTGGTTCGGGAAATGTGTAAAAGATCACAGTTGACCATGGATATTACGGTATTTCAGTGACCATATGTAACAAGGAATACATTCTTTGAAAAAATAGTTCAGAGAAGTCACTAAACAAGAACGGAAGCCCTCCAGATAAACAACAGTAAACTCAGAGGAGGAAAGGAAAATCTAGTGTCCTCAGTAATTACATTAAAATATTCAAAATGTCCAGTTTTTAAGAAAAACAATAAAGAACACACAAAAGGAATACAAAGAAATAGTCAAGTATAGCCCACTGACAGGGAAAAAAATGTGATAGAAATAATCTCTGAGTAAGCCCAGACACTGAACTTATCGACTTTCAGAAGAAGACAGAAAAGTATAGAAAAAAAATCTCCAAAGACATAATGGAGGAAAATTCTCCAATTTTCATGAAATGCAGAAATTGCCACAATCAAGAAGATCAACAAACCCAAGTCAGAAAAAGTCAAGAGATTCATACAGATACAAACAATAATCAAATGTTAAAAACCAAAGACAATGAGAGAATCTTAAAAAAGCAAAGAGAGGGAGATTCATGATGGCAGTGTGAGGGGTGAGAAGAATTCCTCCCAAAACAACAAACAGCATGAAAATGTAGTTAATTGATACAACTAACCCTAAAACAGCAACAAGAAAGAAGGCTGAAGAGACTGCATGCAGACCTCACGAAAAGAGCAGACCTCATGAACCTGGGTAACATACGAAAGCCTTAATCCAGCGGCACCCAAGGGCTTCCCCCACCCCAGCCCACCTGTGGGAGGAAGAGAAATGGACTGGGGGAGGGGGTGGTAGCCTAGAACTGCTGAACAAACACCCAGCCCTGGAGGTCTGCTTTGGGAGCAGAAAATTACACTGTGTGGTGCTCTGCACGTTGGGGAGCTCAGCCAGGTGGAGTGCTTAAGAGACAGACTCTGGCCATTTGTGGAAGAGGGGATCCACACCCGGCCACTCTGGGACAAGGGATAAGGCAGGTGGTCTGAGAGGCTTCCTAGCAGAGAAAGGACTGCTGAAGGGGCAGGGTTTGCATGGAGCTTGCTGCGTGGCGGAGGGGAGAGCTGGACAAGGTTGTCCCGGTGCACTCTGCCCAGCTGGTTGGGAACCTTGAGGAACTTCAGGCACCCCATGCCTCTGCCTACTCAGCTCCCAGGCCCCCCACTGTGACACGCAGCCCACTGCACCTTCCTCCTAAACTACCCACACCAGACTGCAAACTGGCAGTCACTGTGCTGGCAACAGGCCAGACAGAGGGAGGACCCGCCTCCAACAGCTGGACACACCGAGCACAGAGGCTTACACATGTGTGCTCAGCCCACTGGCTCTGACACCGGAGACAGGCACCACAGACAGGAATCAGGAAATAGCTCTTTCCTCCCCTCAGGCACCAGCATCACTCCCCTACAACCTCCAACCTCACTCTAGGAGCTGAGAAGATCCAGAAACTGGCACTTCTGGGCACCCTACAGAAATATGAAACGTCAAAAGAACATGGTTCAGAACAAAATCTCACAAACCCCGAGAAAAAGGGTCAAATGAAACTGAACTCACCAATCTGCCTGAAAGAAAGTTCAAAATAAAAATCATAAACATGCTTATGGAGGTACAGAAAAATATTCAAGAACTCAGGAATGAATATAAGTCAGAGATTCAATCATTAAGAACTTCCATATCTGAAATGAAACATACAGTGGAGGGATTTAAAAGCAGATTAGATGTAGTAGAAGAGGTGATAAATGGAACAGAAATTGGAGAAGAGGAATACAAAGAAGCTGAGGCAGAGAGAAAAAAGAATATCTAAGAATGAAAGAATATTGAGAGAACTGTGTGACCAATGCAAACGGAACAACATTCACATTATAGGGGTAACACAAGAAGAAGAGAGAGAAAAAGGGATAGAAAGTGTCATTGAGGAGGTAATTGCCAAAAATTTCCCCAATCTGGGGAAGGAAATACTCTCTTAAGCCATGGAGGTGCACAAATCTCCCAACACAAGGGACTCAAGGAAGACAACATCAAGACATATAATAATTAAAATGGCAAAGATCAAGGATAAAGACAGACTTTTAAAAGCAGCTAGAGAGAGAA